TAACAGTTGTTTTGAATTTATCTAGGTTTAAATAAATCATGATTCATCCGATGAAAAACATCTTGATATAGTCGATGTTTTATAAACTCGAAAGAAAAATATAGTAGTGGATAACAATGACTTTTCACAAGATTAGAAAAAACCCTCAACCATGCCTTACTTCTTTTTTTTCTTTCAGCAACGATCCTGAGCATCGCAGACAGTATACGCATCCAACTGGTTCAATTCATCATTCAATTTGTGGCAGCAGTCATGAAAATTCTCCAAAGCCGCACTGTCGTTATGGAGCTGCCTGTTACGAGTATGTTTAAGTTCTATTGAACTATTGTTTCTAGCTTTATTTGAAACAGAATCTTCCAGAGCAATCCCTGCGATTAAAATATAGAACACAAAGAAGTCAATCCAAATAATAATAGAAAATTGTTCACCACTATAATATTCATTTGTCTCTTTTAATGGACTTACTAAGCATTAAGAGAGAAACATCTGTGAGAAGCTATAAAACTATAGAAGTTTCTTGACTTCGTTACAGACATCTAATTGTATCGTCATAGTTTGTAGAACATGTCGAAACGGAAGTTTTTTACGTTTCTTGATACATTCTTCAATACTTATTAACAATTGTGTTCCATAAGATGAATTGTAAGAACAGATAGTTAAGAAAGTATAACAGTTGTTTTGAATTTATCTAGGTTTAAATAAATCATGATTCATTCGATAGAAAACATCTCGATAAGGTACATAGTTCATAAACTTGAGAGAAAAATATAGTAGTGGATAACAATGGCTTTTCTCAACATTAGAAAAAAGCTGGATCATGCCTTGCTTCTTTTTTTTTTTCAGCAAAGATTCGAAGCATCGCAGGCAGTATGCACATCCCAGTGGTTCAAGCCACTGTGAAATGGGGATTAGTCGATTTGGACAGCCGAAATGTCGTTACAGATCTGACTGTTATAAGTACATTGAAATTCTATTAAACTAATATTTATTGTATTCACGAAAAATGCGTGTTGAAAATAAATGATATATAACACCCATTTGAAAATTGAGTTTGAACACATCGGTTTCCTAAAATCGTAGTATAATAATTAGCTTGATTACATATCTCTTTCACGAACGACATGAATATACAGGAGCTTCTGAATAGTGAAGAGTTAGATCGCAAATGAATAATGTATTGTCTGAAAATCCAGAAAAGAAAAAGACTTAGGAAAAATTCTATACAAGATTAAGCAATTTTTTATGACGAGTGAGAGTTTGGGTGACAATGGTGATGTTGAGTGAAGTGAAAATCTAAAAAAGGAAGAGAATCTCCAGGAGACACAGAGAGAATACAAAGGGTAGATTACAAAAGATTATGATTTTTTCATTGATTTGTCAGAAAAACTTTTCAGATGCTGACACATTTTTCTTAATAAGTAGTAAGACTTCTTCTCAAGAAAGAAGAAACTTCCAGTGCATTCCGCATAGAAAAAAATTCAAGACACAATGGGTCAGTTTCAATCGTTGTAGAGAATCGCTACCATGTCCATCAGAATGCAGTACAGGATTGCACGAAAGATCCGAGAATGGACCCTGACACATATCCAACCTTGTTGCTCTATGTAGATGCTTCAACACATTGAAAATCATGTTTTTGCACAAGATCCTTTTTTTCCATTAAACATTAATCACATCTTGTTTCGTTTATTAAAGTAAAGACCCGGAACATCGCTCTCAATATGCTCATCCAAATGGCTCGGTTAGCGCGCATTGTGCAAAGACGAAGTGCTCATACGGAGCTAACTGCACTAAGTAATGTTTAATTTCTGTTGTATTTTTACCATCACTTTTATTAAAATGAATGTCTAGAATGAAAGATCCAGAACACATGGCGAAATTTCGACATTGATGAACTTATCTTTCAAGAACATTAGTTAGCTTTGTTTTATCCGTTGAATGTAACTAAATCATTTAAATAAAGTTCAACTAACCCTTTTCGAAATGCAGCAGCTGATTCACACATAATCTAATAAAGCTATTTGATATTTGTTATACAGAATAAATAATTAAACCAATCACGAATCTGTACTCACATCAAAATAGGAATTCGTGCTTGACTCGTTTAATTGACATCAATATAATGATACAGATGAGAATAGAAAAACTGCTTAAACCAGAGTCAGCAAATATTAAAGTAAATTCACCAAATTCAAATGCTCAGATTTGATATAAGTTCAGTTGCGACATGTAAATGAGCTCACTGATGTGATGAAGTTTGTCACAAAAGACGAAATGAATCAAAGAGCACAGATGCTCAGTGGAGACAATCGTTTCAGGAAGTGTTAATGAACGGGGAGCAGTTGAGATGAGAAGACTAAAATGGAAAGTACAATCGACTGTGACTTCATCGCTGTTTTTCGAAAGATGTTTCGACTGATGAAAGTCATTCTCTAAGGAACGATAATTGATGTTGCATTCAAAGAGCCAGTCTATTGGTTTTCAAATGAATTCAGTCTGAACTACGTTTCTCTTCAATTGCAATACTAATATCAATCGAACAGAATACATTAATAAGATTTAAAAAACGGAAAGAAAGCTGAATTTCAAATCGATCATTGCTCAAAATTCTGCATGAATATTGTAAGAGGGAAATTACGCAGTCTTTGAAATTTTTTTAGTTTTTCGTGTGAGTGTGGATGTGGTTGTGAGTATGACTACTAGTAGGGCGCAGGAAGAGCAGAGCCATATCTACACTCACATCTTATACTAGAGTGCAAATGAACAACATTGAGGGTATTGTGCAATTTTCGCTGCTGTTCAATGTCTAACACATGTCGGTAGGTATTTGATTGTCTTCGAATAGTTTTTCAGTTATGCTTGGACATCATCTTGATTACCATAAAACTAATGAGACTAAGTAACAAAGGTGATGTTTGTGCTTGGATGATTATCAGTTTCTGATTTTTCATTGATCTATCGTATGGTTATTTCTGAAAATGTATCAAATAGAGATTATTACCATTGATATCCCTTAAATTCTTTATTGATCATTGATAACGACTTGTTGCTACATTGTATTCATCAATGTAGTATGATAGTTGACTCCATGTGAGTTTGAGTGAACTTTTCTTGGTTTCACTTCTGTTCTGAAACTGTATCTTGATTCCTGTCAGCTTACTGATGTTTTCATCAGTGATTTGGATCAACAGCATATATCAGTAAAGGTCATTTTCAATCGAGCCAGCTTTGAAAATAGTTCCGATCATGCACAAGAGTTTTTGCTTATTAGATTATTGACTCGAATACTCAATATCATTGGATGAATTGTAGATAGTTTTCAGTTAAAAAATGATCAACATTTGATCATCTGAATCTATTTGGATTATCCATGTGCCGACACATAAAAGAACTATTTCTTAGTCTTTGATGTTGTCTAAAAAGAAATAAGTGACATAGGAGCAGGTAAATTGTCAACTAATTTTTTGATTTTATGGATTGTACTCTTTTGACCATGATAAAACGTGATCATCGCTATTGCGCTTATTACCCGTCACTAGTCTTTTTGGATAGATGGCTCATTTTTATGCTTAAATCGAAGATACTAGATACATTTTGAAAATGTACAGCTTTATTGATGCATTGATAGAATCAAGACTCTTTTATATAATATTTTAAACTGCCTCGTTTTAGTAGTCTGTCTTTCTAAATTCATCTATTTTAGCCCGTTTATATGAGTCATCTGCACAAAGTTGATGGCATTGAATAAAAGACTGAATAATTACTGAGAAGAAACAAGATGTAGAGAAAATAAAAGAAAAAAAATGAATCATTATTGACAGTTCGTCATCGGGCTATGGAAGTTACATTAAAAAAAAAGAGCGAAGGAAGAACGAAAGACAAACGTTTTTCGTGCTATTGTTTCTTTCTTTCATAATTCCTTTGTCCTTCTCAAAAGAAACCCAGCAGTCATCGGAGAGGGTAAAAAACTGCATTAACATAGGTAAGTACCAAAACGAGAAAGAAAGAAAGAAAGAAAGAAAGAACAACAACTCACTGTGATCACGATGTTTGCTATAGATTTGTTAGCTTCTCTATCATAGCTCTTTTCTTGGACACACCAGAGTATATTTGAATAAGTCTCACCGACAATCTGCATTGGGTCATAGAACATTTTATGTAAGTACTTACATGAAAAACGCTCTTTGGCGATCAAAGCTTCACAAAGTATCAGTTTTTCAGTTTTCTCATTTGTAAGTCTTTAATCTTTCGAACTTTGCCATCGTAGCACATTAGATTAGAACTCTCGTACGCGATGGTTCCAAGAAAAACCAAAAATAGAACCATATTATTCCTAAGACTTTTACAGTCGATATGTCATGTGACGATGACTCTCGATTTTTTTCAAAAATGGAATCAATCCTTAAGATGGCGTACGCTTCCACAACAAATAAATAACTATTACCACAAAACACGAAGACGATAAATGAGCATAGATTCTCGTTTGATTATACGAAGTCAAAATATGAGTGAAGTATTAATCGGTATTGGAACGGACGCTATCAGTATTGGTTGGTAGTCAAGTATTTATAGATTGCGCGTATAATGATATTGATATTGATGGTATTGAAGCGATGGCGTAAACAGTGGTGGCGCTGTAAAATAAAAGTGTAGAATAATAAAACCTATAAAAGGATTTATTAGTTTCGTAAGCTCCACGTTGAACTTTCGTAAACCCATTTAGGATTTGTGTCAATTTCATGAAGTCTTCCAGAATTTATTACACGTTTCACTTTCATAAGCTCTAGCAAGACTATAAATTGACAATGATCGATCGTTTCAAGTATAACTAGATTGCCTAAACAGGGTCAAGAGTTTCAACGCAAGCACTAAAATTTAAAGAACGTACCAATCTATCAACTATATCAGCTTTTCGTGGGCTCTACAAAGGAAATATGCAATAAGTTCCAAACAGAATATGTCAAATTATGCACTGGATAGATATGAAAAAGTTGCGAAGAAAGAATCGGTAACTGATATGAGGGAAAGAGAAAAATGACAATATCATGTAATGAATGTATGATTGATTGGACAAATCACGGAAACGAACAAGATAGTTAACTGGAATAATGTAGGGATGAAAAAATACAACTGATAAGAACTGAGGAGGAAGACAACAAATACATTTCAACGTGATTATAAATGGCTGGATCATTTCAATCACTTTTTATGGATTTGAAATATTTTCTCAAGATAACGATGCGATAATAAATAAAATTGTTTAGAGCTAGTGTATTATTGCACTAGATGATTCTAAAAAGATCATGACTCATAAAAACTCAGAACATATTGTTAATAGAAGTCAGGCGAAAACATTTCCGAAGCATAATTTGTTATTTCAATCTCTCCATAATGAATTTATATTTTTCTTCGTTTGTCGATGTGGAAAATGTTATTTTGAATATGTTGCGCAACTGTTCTTTGACTCATTGAAAAAATAGTTACTATGCATATGATTGATTGAAAATATCATCTAATACAGAGTGTATGGATTCAGTTCTTAATTTGACATAAAAACGATGCAACAGAAAAAGTAGATAGGTAGCTACGCTTCAATCATTCCTGTTTAGTCAAAACAAGTTCTTTTTATTTACAAAGTGCTTCAGAAGTGTAGTTACTTTTTCGTTCTGTTATCGTTATAAGTTTGTTTTTCTAGCTCAACAATATTAAACACTAATATATAATATTCCAGATTTATTTTTATCATTTTTTAATTATATAATCTTCTACAAAACTTCGTCATTTATTCTTGCTGAACTAAAAATTAAGAACTTTAATGATTCTAAGAAAACTCAACCGTCAAATACATCGACTACACATTTTGCGTTGAAACTAATCTCAGTAGATAAATCCGTTAAAATGCTTTGAATCGCCTAAGAAAAACGGGAAATAATGAGTAATTATTGAACATAATAATATCCGTTCAGAAAAGTATGCATAAGTCTAGAAAAATCTTCGGCGTTTTAACGTGTTCAGAAATCTATAACGGGTTGTAAACAGTTAAATGAACTGTGAAAAGGACGTTTTGACCAAATTTTAACACATTTTAACGTGTTTTTTTAAAGTATTGTCTGATTGAGTATCGAGCAAGTTTTCTAGCCCTTATAACAAAAAGAGAAAATCGAACACATGTCAATGCTTCGACAACGTATGAGTTTACGTACTAGAAAAGAAGACTTAAAATTAAACAAAATCAAATAAATCATTTGGTTCAATATATTTTGTAACAATCACAAAACAAAAATGTCCTCTTTATAAAGTCAAAGTAAAGACCGCGAAAATTTGGCTGTCTACGCGATGTGACCGTAAAACGTATTTGAAACTGAGTCTTAAAAATGATAGTACAGTTTGCGACTGATATTGGTAGAAGTTTCATTAATCACGACTTGGTAAATTATTAAGTACTCATTGCAATAGGTTATGTAAAATGATACAACCATCAGTTAATCGAATAAGCATTAAACATTAATAGATATTTAGACGAAACAGGCTGATCTTTTAGTAATGAAAAGAATCATTCTTATCTTATATTCGCAGAAAAATATTCTAAAATAAACTATAAGTAGTCATCGTTGATTGCACTGAAATCTTATGATCCTTGACAAGCTATAAATGATCTTCATTCTCTTGAGCATAAAAAGATATATTTGTTATTCGATTAGTACCTAAAACCAGTGTTGTTTGATCTTTAACAAGTATCAGAGATTTATGTTTTGTACTGATTACTTGTAAAAAATTTCAGGCTTTACAAGAAGCATTTTTCGAGGGACGTAATATTGTTGTTTTCGATAAATCATTGTAGAATAGGATTCTTATCAAGGGAAACAGTAAAAGCACAAGGAGTCTATTTTTGAATATTTTTCTTGGAAAGTAAATTAGCGATAGCGTTTTATGACTTGTAAAACACTCAATTTAGTTTGTTCCAATAGGGATGGAATGTTTATTGAATTTTGTTCGCAATATTAAGCCTCCCCCCCCCCCCTCCCCTTCAAAAAAGTTAGTTTTCGTCAGAATGATCAAGATTGAGATAAATGCATGGGGAGATAGCCTGTCATTTGCTCTATCATAAACGATAAAAACTTTTCTTTGATATCTCTTTTTTTCCGAAAAATTTTCAAGATTTTTGACAACCCCTATTCGAAAAACCAGCGGTTTTTCGAAAAATACAAAAATCTTCTTTGCTTTTTCTCAAAATGGCGGTCGAGCGGCGCATCTCTAGCGAAAGTCAACTATAACCTGATATACAGTCAAATATTTATTTTTTGTTTGAAAGAGAATCAAAAACTGCAGTGCCTATGTGAGCTCTTTTTTTGATAAAGCTTTGTTATTATTATATTGATAAGCAATTTTATAATATGAGCGCCAAGTTTTTGAGAGGTTTTTCAGTGATTGAACTTGTCAGATCTTTTTTTTCTCCAGAAAGATAAGAGTAAAAAAAAGGGCCCTCATAGACACTGCCTTCGGGCATGAGCTTTCAAACAAAAAAACAATCAAGCATATTGAATGAACACCCACAGAGAATTGTTGGAGACGCGATAAACTATTTCTCGACCCTTCCTTGGTTCGCATCCCACTTATACATCAGGATAGGAGGCTGAAAATTTTACCACAGACGTCCTTTTACAGCCCCAACATATCCCCAAAGTTTCATGACATTTGGATGTTCCTGAGCTGAGATCGATTTTTGAGAGAGGGATCCCTTAATACATTGGACCACTTTACATTGTAGATATTAGAAAACTCATCAATAGAGATCAATACTTCAATAATTATCAATATCAAATCTTCTTCAACACCAAATACGAATACTTGATACCATTATTGATTTTAGTACCTGCTTGTGCATGTGTATTGAGCAATCAAAAGATACTTTTTTTGAGCACAAGTAATTCTTGCAAGATTTTTCTAGATTAAGATGGGAATCGGATCTCATATTGGAGTTGAGGCTGCCAAAGAAATGCGACAATGTATTGGTGATGCATCATCAAACTTAGCTTCTGGAATGGAAGAAATAGCAACGTCAGGCGAAAACATTTCAAAAAACATACTCATCGGCTGGCTGAAAAGTCTCAACAATTTACAGCGGTTGTCTCGAGATTTTAATAGTACAGCTCATATGACAGTGACAAAAACTCTGTTGAGTGTAGAAAAAGCGATTAAGCTGGGTGATAAAGTAACTAAAAACATGTTGGAAGGTTGGATGGCAAGTCTCAAAGAAGTCAATCATCTGGTCAACACTCTGCCATACGTTGGACAACATACAGGCGAATTCTTTGCGCTAAAGGCTATCGAGGTCATGTCTAGAGGAATACACAAGGTTCTCAAACACCCTTTAACCGTTTTCATCATAATTATGTTCGCACTTCTCTTGACTTTCGTCAGCTGCAAACTTCTCCTTGTTCTTATACGTGATCCAATTATTCAAGGACTAGGCTTCATTCTCGTTTCTGTATTAGGAACATATCTTTGGAACAAGAAAAATAATATTGCTGGTAAGGTTGGAATAATTTTCATGAACCAATTAAGATTATGCTTGCCCAACTATCGTATCAGGATTAGAGACGGGTGTGGATCATTTTCTTCCATTGAAATCAAGCCTAGCCTAATTATAAAGTTGGAGACTGGACCTAGTGATCTTTGAAATCCATTCCCCATTTTCAGTATGCTCATACCTTCTCAAAAGGATATTAGCCTTTCTCAAAGCACCGATGTATCTTCATTTGAAATCATAAACCTGACGTTGAATATAGTACCCAATGCATGATTATATGAGTGACGTCAGTGACTGACTTCAGTCACTCGACCCAAGTTTGCAGTCGTTTCTCAGCATAAGATGTAGGCATAGGGTGGGTCTACTTATCACTTGCCTGGTGTCATTCTTGAATTCTTATACTTTTTTCTCAATCTTTCATAAATTTATCTCTGGAGAACTTGTCTTAGTTTAAAAACAGTGGAGAATGTGAAATCGTTCCTCTATTTTTCAGTTTTCCATCGTTTTTTTTCGTCGTTAGACGCTGATCAGCTAGGACTGGAGCCTTTCGCCGAAAAAAAGGCAACAAGGAGTGTGGGAATCAAGGTGTTTCTAAGCAGAATTCGTGCTTTTTTAGAAGTTTCTATATGATAGCTTCATGTAGTGTGCAAGTGAATGTTTTCATACGAATGTAACTTTTTTCCATTGGAACATTCGTAAGTCAAAAATTAAGACTACATATCATGCTAAATCCCTGATGTAAGCCTTTGAAATTGATTCCATTATTATACTATCAAGTCAAATAATTAAATCAAATATTGCATACCAGTAGATCGAGAGTTTTTGATGAGTAACTTTTCCTTTTTCAGTATTTTCTTCACACAGGAAAACTGTTGGTTTAGTTAGTAACTCTGGTCTGTAGTTTATCATCCAATGCAGATTTAAAGTGATAAAGCTATCACCTGACTAGAAGAGTTCCAGTTCTGTGCCCACATATAATACTAATATTCTCTTCACACACCACGAGTTTTAATGCAAACTAATTTCTTCTTCACAAAAAAACATACTTTCACGTTTCTTTAACTCTAGAAAAACAAATCGAGTCATCAACAGAACACGAACGACAACAACAGCAATCTCCATACAATTTTGAAGCTCTAACTGCTGCCCAATCAGAATCAAAATGTTGTAACAAGACAAGTACAAAACATTCTGACCAATCTTCTCATCTCACTGCTTCCCGACAGCAGCATGATAATCGTATTAGCTCAGAACAGAGCTCGAACAGTCGTGACATTAAAAATGCAGAAGAACAGGAAAATGGTTCTCATTGCACGCTGATTCAGGAATTCGATGATGAATACGTTTCCTATCATCGGCGACTGGACAGTCGTGACATTGGACATACCGAAGATTGCGAAAATTACAGTCATCCTGGTGCTCCCATAAAATCGAATGATAAACGCATTCCATGTCAATGGGGATCGGATTGTCGTGATATTGGAGATGTCAAACATCGAGAGAAATACTTCCATCCATCTACTGCTCGCAAGCGACATGATCAGCGCATTCCTTGCCAATGGGGATCAAACTGTCGTGATATTGAAGATGCGAAGCACCGCGAGAAATACTCTCACTCACCTATCCCTCACAAAACAGATGATAAACGCATTCCTTGTCAATGGGGATCAAACTGTCGTGACATCGGAGATGTCAAACATCGAGAGAAATACTCCCATCCACCTACTGCTCACAAATCAGATGATCAGCGCATTCCTTGCCAATGGGGATCAAACTGTCGTGATATTGGAGATGCCAAGCATCGGGAGAAATACTCCCATCCACCTACTGCTCACAAATCAGATGATCAGCGCATTCCTTGCCAATGGGGATCAAACTGTCGTGATATTGGAGATGCCAAGCATCGGGAGAAATGCTCTCATCCATCTACTCCTCACAAAACAGATGATAAACGCATTCCTTGTCAATGGGGATCAAACTGTCGTGATATTGGAGATGCCAAGCATCGGGAGAAATACTCTCATCCATCTACTCCTCACAAATCAGATGATCAGCGCATTCCTTGTCAATGGGGATCAAACTGTCGTGGCATTGGAGATGCTAAACATCGAGAGAAATACTCTCATCCATCTACTTCTCACAAATCAGATGATAAACGCATTCCTTGTCAATGGGGATCAAACTGTCGTGACATTGGAGATATCAAACATCGGAAGAAATACTCTCATCCATCTACTGCTCATAAATCAGATCACTAACGCATTCCTTGTTAATAGAAATCGAACTGTCGTGACACTGAAGATTCTATACATCGGGAGGAGTATTCTCACCATTCATTTGAATAAAAACGTAAAATAAGGCGGCATATATTAGAGTTTAGGCGGTTGTATGGGCGAGGAAATGGATGCTTAACTCATCACATTTACTCTTCAATAGTAATTAAAAACAGTAGAGTGTCAAGGCTGATATTTTTAGTGAATATATTTAAGAATTCCATGAATCTCTTGTGTTACCATTTTTTGAGAATAATATTATCGATCAATCGGATCTATGATGTTGCTAAAATGTGTAAATATAATTCTAGAAATGATTGCTCTTGGCGCAAATATTATGTATCCCTGTTTATTGGTGACTTTAAAAAGTTAGTAAGAAAAAGTACACATAAAGAATAAAGTGCAACTATGATATTCTACAGAACTGTGGAAAAATTAAGGACATTTTAACGTTACAAGAAAACAACACCAATAACAATAATAAAGTTCAATTTGAAATGAAGAATACAAGACAGAAAGAAAATAAAAAATAAGGAATGGAATGAATTTAATGTTAAATCATTGATGGTTTTGAACAATATTTAAATAGAAAAACAACACTAAGAATACAAATTTTCCATTTACTGTCTACGGAATAAATGTAATTCGAAAAAAGAAAGAAACTTTTTCGATGTAGTTATTTATATATACAGGGTGTCCCAAAATTATAAAACCCTCTTTCATTTTTGAAATTTTTCAACAAAGACGAATAGCTA